TCGAAATCGCCATCCTGGTTACCTGTTCGAGCGTTCTGCGGATCCTTTGAGAAGGATACTGTAGTGCATCTCAACCCAACCGTCTTCAGCCATCCTATTCGACGAGATGTCCTCCATGCATGTGTTACATGGTATCGAGATTCCTTACGGCGTGGTACTGCTAGTACCAAAGGAAGGGGTGAAGTCAATGGCTCCAATCGTAAAATTCGACCCCAGAAAGGCACAGGACGAGCCAGATTGGGAGATCGCGGAAGTCCAATGCTTCGAGGCGGAGGAGTAGCATTCGGTCCCAGGCCGCGAGACTTGTAGTTGGCTAAAATCAATGTTAATGATATATTTCACGTGTCCAAAAATTTACACTTACCCTTCACAGGAATAAATGGCATCTTCATAGAATCATCGGATAGCCATTGTAATACTGGCTCAACTAGATTTGGATCAACTTCTCCGTCTACTTTAGCATTTTGCCGAGCGTGAAAGGTCGAAGCAGTCTTTCCATGAGCCTTGAAATTTCCAGCGGCTCGTAAAAGGGCGACGCGTCCTAAACGCGATAAACAGACATTCTGAGAAATATTCTATAAATTATTGAATATCGGAATCCCATATGTAACTTGGAAAGAATTGCTCACATGAATTGTGACGCGACGGGTCAACATGAGAGAAAGCGAACGCTATTTTTTATTTGTCCTTGTTTGTCCCCAATCACCCCGAACCACACTTGCCTCTATCATTTATTCGTGAGGCACCTTTTGGTCCGAGAGTAATCAAGAAATCATGTCAACAACAAACGCAGTCCAAACGTTTGGCAAGAAAAAGGCTAGTACTACTCGGTTGAGAAGAATGATCGATTTAGGCTAACCTCTACTTCACCTCCATACTCCAATGATATACAACACGGACTTGGAAACCTTACTCTATAGACCGCTACGGCTGTTGCACACGCCAAAGAAGGTCGTGGGTTAATCCGTATCAATGGACAACCACTCCATCTCGTCCAACCGCCCACCTTGCGCTACAAGATCTACGAACCAATTCTGATGCTTGGAGAAGAAAACTTCTCTGCCATTGATATCCGCGTTCGTGTTTCTGGTGGTGGACATACATCCCAGATCTACGCTATTCGACAAGCTATCGGAAAGGCTGCCGTTGCTTATTGGATGAAATATTATGATGCTAGCCATGCTTTGAGCCTGAAGAAGAGTCTGGTCGACTACGATCGTAGCCTCGTAATTGCTGATCCTCGACGAATGGAACCGAAGAAGTTTGGTGGTGGAGGTGCTCGTGCAAGAAGACAAAAGAGGCACGTTATCTTTACCGTATCAATTGATCTTAATCTCATTCATCCCTCTAGTTACCGATGAAAGGCCTTTGGACTTCTCTGGTGTTCAGCTTTACCCTGTAGCTCTTATGCCGAGTATGCACTCCTTATGTTTTACTAAAAGCCAAAACATGTGCATCATCGCTCCTTATATACATATGATGAAGCCACTCTGACATTCTCCAGTGTAGCTCTTGAAAACCACAGTCTAATCCGACTATCAGCATGCCGCTTTCAACGGAAGAGTATAACAATCTATCTACGGAGGAACGGGAGGCGTACGATGCAGCGGAACGTCAAAGAGAAAAGGAGGAGCAAGCCAGTCAGTTTCAAGCGCTTGAGACTGCTATACGTACTGACGCAAACCGATCGATTGAATCTGGACCCCGAATGATTCCTATACCTGTGTGATGACGGTTATAGCTTTGCCTTACTCTTGGGCTCAACAATTGGGAGACGTAGATATTGTGGTTCCTGTCCCCGCCGGCACCCGCGCTCGGGATCTAGCCGTAACGATAAGCAAGAAGAAGTTATCAGTTGGTCTTAAAGGAAAAGAGCCCATCATGGCTGGTGATCTTTGCCAGGACATCAAGGTAGATGAGAGCACATGGACTTTAGGTAAGGGATCATTATCTACATCGTAGATAGCACATTTCAATGATTTAATTTGACAATAGAGGACAATAAGCAAGTTCACGTTCAACTCGAGAAAGTAAATAAGCAACAGTGGTGGGCGAATGTGTTGACCCACCACCCAAAAATCGATACGACAAAGATTACCCCGGAGAATAGAAAGCTCAGCGACTTGGATGGTGAAACTCGGTGAGCCTAATATTTATCAGTAACTCATCAGTCGTTGACTAGGGCAGTGGTATGGTCGAGAAAATGATGGTAAGCAACTCATCCACCCTATGTATCGACTATCAACTGAATTTCTTTCCCAGTTTGATAACCAGCAAAAGGTAAACTAGTCGGAGTTGGTTTTAGGTTTGTACTAATCATTGATAATTTCCCAGCAAATGGGCAAGCCCACATCAGATGAGCTCAAGAAGATGGAGGTATGTAGTAGGACCACTTAAGCAAGCTTCTTTGAATACTTAACTCACGTACACAGGTCCTGGAGAAATTCAAGAAGATGCATCCCGAGATGGATTTCTCCAATGCAAAG